CTATAACCATTTTACCAGACCTCGTCAAGGGAAAGAGATGGGATGTACCAGAAAGATGTTCATATTAAGTCTCTTATACAGGGACAGAGACCTCAGTAAGCTATGAATACAGCTATGTAATGATCCTTTGCTTTGAATTGAAGAGAATGAGCCTCCAGATTGACTTGCACCTCCAACTGATAGCTTTCTAATGAATGCAAAATACCTAATTTATTTGAATTATAACTATGCTATAGACTTCACGGACATTTTTTTTTTCAACATGGAGGTGGCATCCATGTGTATCCCATAACAACTGGAGCCCTGTCTATAATATTAAAGAACAGAGATGGTCATTTCATCACAGAGCCTGAGAACCATCATTGTTAACACTTTACTTGAAGGGGCACAAAAAGTATAGTATTATGCTATTACTTGTGTATTAATTAACCACAAATTAAGTCTTACTTGCAAACTGATCTCATGTTCATTCGTCATTAATGAATCATGACAGATATTTTATCTCAAGTACCTATTATATTTGTTCATGATCTGTACTTCAGTAGTAACTGAGTTGCTACTATGTATTTGTGCTCCCTCAAGTAAAGCGTTACCCCTTCATTTTGAATGCATTTGTTTTGCTGGTTTGCCTGGTGGGTTTGTATCTACTGTATGACTGAATAAATCAATATAAAACATCACTGAACAGTTAAACTCGCTATATAAACATGTCACTCTAAAAAGGCATTTAAAGACCATGGAAAGATCTGCCTTCTTTGATGGCATCATTTTGAATACCAAAAGTTTCATGTTTCCTCTGCAGTTATGATGTCAGTCAGAAGATACTTTGCATTTTCAGCTCATGCCTCAGTGCTCTGGGAGGGTTTATATTCCAGGAGGTTTAACACTTCATGACTGACAGCTGACCTTCATCACAACAGACTCCAAAGAAACATGACTTTGATCAGTCTCAGCATCTTGCTCTTCATCCTCACTCACGGTAAATAACTTGTGTATTTTGCAGCTTACTGCTTAAAGAGATGTGAATTTATAAATTTAGACACCTGGAGCTTCTTGGTGTGACAGTTTTGTTTAATTCAGTTTTAAATATTTTCTTATTTTGTATTCGATTTCAGAATGCAGAGGACAAGTGACTGTGACTCAGACTCCAGAGCTGATATCAGCTTCTTCAGGACAGACAGTCACTATAAACTGTAAAACCAGCAGCTCTGTGTATACTGATAGTAATGGCCCCCGCATGGCCTGGTACCAGCAGAGACCTGGAGAAGCTCCTAAACTTTTGATCTATTTTGCAAGAACCCGTATCTCTGGGATTCCGTCTCGATTCAGTGGCAGCGGATCTAGTACTGACTTCACTCTGACCATCAGTGGAGTCCAGGCTGAAGATGCAGGAGATTATTACTGTCAGAGTGAACATAACATTGGTGGTAGCTGGCCGATCACACAGTGATACAGAGCCGTACAAAAACCTCCCTCAGTCAGACTGCGCAGTGACTGCACTGCTGCAGCTGGGACTCACTGCAGGTACTGAGGGGCAACGTCATGACTTGAGCCCCCCATAAAGCAGATTAGTCATAAATACATTTTATTTAATTTTAATAATAACCCCAAACTACTGTGACCTGACAGAGCTACAGCAGATCCACTTACACCCTGATACAGCTGGTGACTGGAAAGCGGAGACACAGAGACTCAGTGTGTAGCACTGTTACCTCACACCTGCAGGGTTGGGGATCACATCCTGTCTCATGTCTTTGTGGGGGGGGGTTTGCTTGTTCCCCCCATATTGTGTGAATGTCTTTTTCTTGTGTGCGCCCATTGATAGAGAAGCACCTACTAAATACTACAGCTTCAACATGGGTAAGGTGGCAATTTCATATTTTTAAACCCCTTTAAGGCTCTTGCATTTTAGATATCACATCCACTGTCATTGTCTATACAGCAAAAGTGAAATCATACTAAATGAACAATTAAATAACTACATTAAACAATGAATTGTTTATATGTGAAACAATGATTATACTAAGCTAAGTGTAGTTATGTAAATCTAGCAATGTAGAATCCCTACTGTAGGGTTCCAGAAGCATTTTAACGTTGTTGTTCTACTTTGGTGTTTATCACAGTTGGGTGTTCACTTTTTATGCATGAGTATGGTCTAGTATGCTGGCTCTTCGTGTATCATTTGAGTGGGACCTAATTGCAACATGGTTTTATATTTTTAGTAGGACTGTTCCAAGCCCCAGCACCACTCTTGATATACGCTTAGTGGATGGATGGGTATTTTTCATGTTCAAGGATTAAAAAGTTTTTTTTTTAAATGTATAGATGTAGCTGTTTCGTGATACATTCTGTTCTGTTGTTCAGTGGGAAACCCCTTCCTCAGGTGGGAACATCAAGCAAGAAAATAGAAAAGAAAAGATTTTTTATTTTTTTTTTAGAATCAAACCTTAGACAAGACCAAGACCTGAGCCTACTCCTCCATTCTGTCCATTTATGTTTAGATTTTACAACATAACAGAACACAGCATCCATTACATAAGCATACATGTTCATCACTGTCCTATATACAAATATCCATTCATATTTTGTAGCTGCTGATCCCGTGTAGGGTCACTCCGGCCTAGATCACATCCCAGGAAGCAGAGCGTATTATGGCAGGGCATGACAGAGAAGAATGAGATGAACCATGTTGTGGATCCAAACAAAAAGACCTTATTAAACTTCAAAAAAACTAAACTAACTAAACCAAAGGACCATGCTGGATCAAAACAAAACATGTAAATGACAAAACTAAGGCAGGGGGCAAAACAGGGACAACCATTACATACATAGCAGCAAACACAAGGCAACAACAGCTACAATACATTTATTTTAGGGCCGTCAAAATTAACGGGTTAACGCGGATTAATCCATCATCATGATTAATCTGATAAAATTTTTTAACGCAATTAACCCATCTGCAGCGCAGAATGATTCAAAATCACTGAAATGTCTCTGTCAACCCATTTCGGGTAGTTTTAGTGCGTTCCATTTCCCCTCGGAACTTGTATTCGGAGTCGGATTCCGGAGTTTTGAAGCCGGAAGTGACTACATGCGCTCCCGTTTCTCGGACATCCGAGAAATATCTCGGAGCAGCACAGAGGATCCCGAGTTCAGAATCCGAGATGGCTGCGCCCTTTATCAACAGAAGGGAAAGTTGTAGTTTTATCCTGTTTAAGCACTACTTCTCATTTGTGGCTCATTAAATCGGTCGCACACGCTATACCGTCCAACTTATCTGTGGATATGTTGCTACGGAGTTTTATATGTAAAGCACCGCACGTAATGTGTTGTCAACTGATATTGCTAACAATGGCAATTAACCGGGCTAGAATTGGACTTCATGATTAGTTGGATTATTTGTCGGATTTACGGTAGTTCGTGCTAATTGTAAGCGAACGAAGATAAAGACCATTTAAACTGAGGTACCTTAAATCCGACAAGTTGTCCAGCTAAGCAAAAAAATCTTGCTTTTTGATATGGGTCCATGGTATTGCGCACTTCTGTGGCGGATGGAATGCATCCGACTCATGTTCAATAAACATGTTAAGTGCATATATATATTCCCTTTTTTTCTTGAGTCTATTTGCTCATGCAAAATTAAATGTGATTAATATAGATTAAAAATTAATGATATTAAATCATGATTAATCAAAGTTAATCCACAGGAACCCTGTGATTAATCTGATTAAAAAATTTTAATCATTTGACAGCACTTATTTATTTGTTTGTTTGTTTGTTTGTTTCACACATGGTTCAACAGTATTTCATTTCGTACATACAAATCCTCTTTCCCATTAACATAACACTGCACCCACGGGTGAAAAGGAGCAGGAAGAAGAATAAATTCTTTTTAGCACCTGCCCCTTATCTGAATCATAATTATTCTTACAATCGGGCGCCAACAACCCAAAAAGCACTGTAACATTTATCATTATGTAACATTACAAAACCTGACAACAAATCAGTATAATCAACAATATACAACAATACTAGATGGCAAAGAAAAATTGTTCCTTCCACATTTAGCCCAAATCACAGAACACAATCACACAATTACCAGGTGAGGGACAATGGCAAGGGCAGGCACAGTTCTACACGTATATTGAGGGACAGGTGTGGGCCAATTGCAATCAACCACAAACAAGAGACATGGGGCAATGAGGAACAGGTGAGGGTAATAATCAAATTCTAAGGGTACAAACATAAGGAAAAAGTAGAGCACAGGAACAGAACATACTACAAGACTAGATACAAGAATCAGGGATAAATAAGGTACAAAACAAGGGTCCGAACAGAGAGACAAGAAAACATAACAAACAAGAAGCCCAACAAAACTGGGGCACAAGAATTTCAAGCAGGGTGAGGCTGCTCTAGTTTGTAGTAAACTCAGTAGTTTCTATGGATTTCATCCTGATACCTACTGGCAGTCAAGGTGCCATTGTCTAGCCTGTAGAGTAGGGTGGGGTGAAAAAATCAAAATTTCCAATAGCAATTTCCAATAGTGTGGAAAAGTTGTCACTGGACCTCGTTATTAAAAATGCAAAATATCTTTGAAATAGTTTAATATTTTCAGGTTCCACAACGCGATCGAAGTTTTCACCTTTGGATCAATCGTTCCATCTTCTAAGAGTCTGGGCAACTTCCCCTTCACCCCAAGTATGGGCAGCCTTGCTCTGCCAGCCCTGTTCTGCTCCCTGTAATAATATAGTTATTGGATAAGAGAAACACTATTCCAGTAAATGTAATGTAACATGGCATCAACTTGTAAAATTAATATGGTCGAAAGGGAAAGGCATTTGAACACACGTTTACACGGAGAGAAATGTTCATTCAGCAGGAATTTTTCTTAAATCAGATTTAAAAGTGGCGAGTAAAGAACAATCATGGAGAGACTGAGAAAAAGAATTACAGACTTTAGGGTCAATGGCACTGAATGACACGCCACCAACGGTGAGAAACCTGGTGCAAGAGACAAGGAGCAGGTTACAGCTAGATGACTGAAGAAAGCGAGAGGGAGAGTTAGGAGTCAGAACATTACTGAGGCAGCAGGGTCAAGGTCATGTAGTGCTTTGAAGGCGAGTAGCAAAATTTTAAATTTGATACGGGACAGAACTGGTAACCAGTGTAACTGTGAGAGATTGGGGGTGATGTGAGCAGATGGCTTGTTATGAGTGAGGACTCTAGCAGCAGAATTCTGAATAATCTGAAGCTCTTGTAAAGATGTGGCAGGAAGGCCAACGAGAAGGGAATTCCAATAGTCAATACAGGACATGATGAAAGCATGAACCAGACTGTGTGCATCATTACTAGATAGAAATGGCCAAAGGCGAGCAATATCATGAAGGTGATGAAATGCAATTTAGTGAGGGACTTATATGCGGATCAAAGTTCAGTGATTGATCAAATATCCTCCTAAGTTTCTCATGACAGGAGCAGGTTTATCAGACAAACTATAAATACAGACTGAGAAATCAAATGCTTCAGATAATGAGGACTTAGGACCTATGACTAAAACTTCAGTTTTATCAGTATTTAGTTTGAGAAAGTGATCATACATCCAAACTTTGCATCCCATTAGTGCTTTGGGAGGGGAATCAATGGGGGATTGCGAACTAACACATGACTGAATACCATCTCTGTAGCAGTGAAAGCCTCCCCTAAAATATGCCTAACGACGCCCTTGACAGGACACACACTACGGACAAATTAGAGACACCAGTTTTCTTAACTGCATGTATTTTGATTGGGGTGGTGGATTACCATGAGAAAACCTACTGGAATACAGTGAGAACAAGAAAAGACACACAGGCAGGACTGGGAACTGAACCCACAATCGTTGAGACAGAAAACCTCAAGGCTGCTGGCTAAACCACTCAGGCACGTGATTCCATTACAGCATAATATCGTTTCTATGCAAATACTCCGTCTGGTTACAGTAGGTTCCTGTACATAGTTTCTCATTATGAAGACGATGCTGTGATCTTAATTGACATTTGGGAACCCAGTAATTATAAAGCTTTGCAGTTTCTGTCATCTGGGTCGAAATTCACACATTATGTTTACAACACACTGGATCATTTTGAAGGAGATTATGAAGAACTACGGGAAAACCTGGAACTTCGCAAATCTACGGCATTTAACAGAATCACAGGCAGAATTTACTGTTATTTCTGCAGAGCGATGCTGCATTTTACAGCCAGAATGATATAAATTGAAGTGATTCTTTATCTTATCAATTGTTGGTGTAATTAGCTAGGAATTAACCGTCCATTAATGTATTTACTACAACAAGAAACGCGGCTGTAGCGCTGGGAGGTTTTTGTACGGCGTGTCAACCGGTTTCAATCACTGTGGTGGACTTTCGGCGGCGGGACCAGACTGGATGTTGGTAGTAAGTATCCAGCTTTTAATCTATAATATGCACGTAGAAATATTTAATACACACTTCAGTTTCGTTATTACTGCAAATGACAGAATTTCTTGTTTCATCGTGAAGATCCATTCCTTCAATAAGAACAAGGATCTCAAGTTTCATCCAAAGTTTGGCGTGAGATCATGTCTGTTACGGGCGAAACGTGTCTCGATCACGATCAATGCGTCAGACTTGGGAGCCCTGATAAGAATATGAACTGGATGAGTCAATGCAAGATATAGATATTTAAACCATCCATTTTATATCCAATTAGGTCAAATAATATATAAATTGTAATTTGTTAGCCTAATCGTTAATAATATAAAATAGTCCAATCTATAGCCAAGTTGAATGCTATAGATTTGATTAGATTGTGTAGATACCAAACAGCACATTTGTACTTTAAGCGACAGAAAATACTATTTTTGACTTATTAGTTTTATACCCATAAACAAATGTTAGGTATATATACTTAAAGCTGTTTGCTAGTTGCCTGTACTGCGCTGCTGTGAGGTTTTTGTACGGCGGCTGATGCGCCGTAAATCACTGTGGTACACTTTCGGCGGCGGGACCAGACTGGATATTGGCAGTAAGTATCCAGCTTTTAATATTCAGAATACAAGTAGAAACATTTATCACTCACACATTCATACATAATTATGCACTTAGGCAACTTTGTGTTAATATAGTAAATGCAATGATTTCTCTTTATCGTGAAGATCCAGGCTTCAATAAGCTATCTTTCCAGTGAATGTGACAATGTGTATAAAAGATTACCATCCATATTCCACCCGCTTTGATCAGGCTTTATTAGTAGATGTATAATAATTGCAAAGTGTAAATTCAGATGCTGAACGTCATGTTACCTGTTCAGCATACTTAGTTTGTGTAACTGACAGAAAAAAATAAGTTGGAAGTAAGTGCTTCTTTCTGTTGTACAGTATTCTTTCAATATTGTTTTACATGATTCATATCAGTCATGCGTATTGTATTTATCGACTGAGTACAAGAAATACGATGCTGCCTCAGACAACAAGATCACAGCAACTTAAAGTGTCCAAGTGTGTCAATATACGGTCATGAAGGTATGGAAAACTAGAAAAATAGATCCTAAAATCTAATCAATGTAGTTAAAATAAACCCTGAATTTTAATAATCAGTCAAAACAAATATGTTTAAAGTTATATACCTCATGACCCCACACTGGACAGAGTATAGAAAATGAATGGACGTGCATTTCAAACATTCATCTCAAAAACTCATAGGAAAAGGAATTAAACTAACCGTGGATTCGGGAATGCTTGTAGCTGTGATACTGAACTACGGCAATATTAATTTTTGCAGATTTTATGGAAATGTCTGTTTTATTAAATACAGAAATAAAACAGTCATAGATTTAGCCCAGTGAAACTGTCATGGTGCACTGTGTATATCTTGTTATATATTATTAACAAATATTTTATTGGACACAGACCTAAAGTCCCTTTGGTGTCCCCTAGGTATCAAAGCCCCCACCCTGACGGTCCTGCCCCCCTCCAGTGTGGAGGTGTCCAGCAAGAACACGGCCACCCTGATGTG